CTGGAAACTGAGTCCAGAAACTCAATCTGCTATTGCAGAAGAAATAAGAATCCTTCATAGGGTAATAATATTTTTCTATGCTTATTTATATTTTTAGACGTAATATACCTAAATAGTTAGGTACTTAAAAAATGAAACAACCAAAGGCCCTCCGTTCATTAGAAACATCACTCTATAACATAAAGATAATAAGGGTACCATTGCAGTTGTGATTTAAATGTTATTAAGGAACCTCTGCTTATGAATTTCATCTTATTTTATTCTGACCCTGGGCTAAGAACAGTTATTTTTGTGGTTAAGAAGTTTCAGTCCTACTTTAGCTGTAAAACTGCAAGAAGTGTTAGAATGGGGGATATTTTTTAGTGAATCTCTATGTCTCTTGTTTTCCCACTCTAATAATTAAACAAATATTATTTGGTTTGTGCTCAGCACAGTGTATGTGCTGAAAATAATACAGAATAAACAAAGCAAAGGTCCCTTTGGCTGTAGGGTCCATTACAGACTAGGTTAAAGGAATACATACGATTCGATTTAGTGGGATCAGTAATGGCTACCATCATAATCCAGGCATGCTGTAACGATGGACAGTTGGGTTAGGTTGGTGAGAACAGAAATGGAGACATGTTAGCTGGTTCAAGAGATACTAATGTAGTGGAATCAATACATCTTTGTGATGTTTTGGATGTGAGGGGTGAGAGAGCAGTTAAAGCCGTTTCCTGCCTCATGCGTTCCATTTGGATGTTGAAATTACCCATCCATTAAGGCAGGTCTTGGAATGAAAGAGGAAGACTGAGGTGAGTGCTGAGGTCTTTAGTGAATGAAGAGTGTAATCAGGGTGTTTGTGCGATGGTGCAATGAAGGGGGTTGGATAGGACTTTAGTTAAGTGGTTTGGACTTCAAAGAACAGTGCTTTATAGAAGAGGGCGGGTTAGTAGATGGCGTGGAAGTGGTGATGGGAACAAAGAGCTCATCTCTTCACTCTGAAGGATCTGGGATAAGAGCGAATAAATAGCACTTGAGATGGCTTAGGGAAAGCAGTCTTGGCAGAAGAAGCCAGGTTTGGATTAATTCAAGGAGGTAAAAGGAGTGGTTAAGAATATTTGAAGTCTGTACAACGGAAAGGTTTAGAAAGCATTTCAGAGAGGAGGGCTCTGCCTTCCCAGAATGTTTATTTCCTTTTCCTTGCTATTTCTATTGTGTTGCCCAAGTATCTATAGTCTAGAACCAGGCTTTTAACTGCTTTTATAAATATAAATCAACTATTAATAATTTCACATTTTTTAGAGTGCATAAAGTTTTTATTTCTTTTCCCATTGAGTATGGGTTTTGTTTCCCCTACATTTCTGCCTCTTACATATCTGCTTTTCTGTTTCAGGACTCATTTGAACGAGCAAAACATATCTTGAAAACTCATGCAAAAGAGCATAAGAATCTCACAGAAGCTTTATTGACCTATGAGACTTTGGATGCCAAAGAGATTCAAATTGTTCTTGAGGGCAAGAAATTGGAAGTGAGATGATAACTCTCTTGACATGGGTGCATTGCTGGTTTTATCGCAAGAATATAAGAAACATTATAGTAGTGTCCTTTTGCAGTGCTTTCCCCTCCAGTTCTTGACTTGGTGTCATTCAAGGGTGTGAGACACTTTCTCATTCTTTTTTCAAGTTTATCTAATTTTGGCTGTTCTCATGATGACACCTGTTTCAAATTAGCAACCTGTAGCAAATATATTTTAAAAAAATAACTGTCAGGATTGAAAGTAGCTCATTTGAGAAATGTCAGTCATTGAGTTGAAAATGAGTAATGATTTTATGGTTGGTTACTCTGCTAGATGTGAATAAAAATGATGCCCTTAGCTCTTGGAAGTATTTTAATTTGAAAGCTAAAATTATTGAAGAATTTTCTTTTTCTCTTGATAGTGCCATTTATCTTTGATAATGAAATTATACTTTTTTTTGGTTGGTAAATCATATTTCTACATACATCAGTGAAGATGAATTTTTATTTAACTGAATGGAAAAATTATTTTAGAGTATATTGTATTGGCTTTTCAACCAGATTGTATTCTTGAAGTGGCTTTATTATTAAATAAAATTACCTACAGTTTTCTAAATAACCAAAGCTGTGTATGGTCATTGAAGAAGATGTATATAGTTAGAGGGAGTTTGTCACATGATATTCTTGATTTTTTTGGGGTAATCTTAAATTTTGATACAATTTCAAACTGACATAAATGTTGCCAGAATAATACAAGGAACTCTCACATACTCTTGATTCAGATTCACACAAATGGTTTTCATTTTCCCTATTTTTTATTGCCTCCAACTGCTCTCTATCTCTGCGTATGTATATATACATGCATACACACATGTATAAAGCACTGATAAAGTCTTATCTGTCTTAACTTAAATTTTTTTATAGATTTATTGAGGTGTCATTTACATACTGTAAAATTAACCCGTTTTAAGTGTAGAGTTCAAAGATTTCATTTATTTGTATAATCATCACCACAAATAGGTTTTAGAACATTTCCATCACTCCCCAAAATTTTATCTTGCTGGTTTGTGGGTTAACTTTTTTTTTTTT